TCCAGCGAACCATTAGTTCATTTTGCTCAAATAGAAATAGAGGCCTGCCTCTAATACTGGCCCTCCTTCCAATAAAGGCCTGGAGCTTGATGAGCTTGAGTCAAATACAGGCCCGGGCCTGTATTAGAGGATTTACGGTATTATTGTTTTTCACTGGTAAACATCTACCTTCTTTTCAAGCACTTTGTTTTGTTTTCATGATTTTATTTGAATAATTTCCTTCCAGAAAAACTGTTTTCCTAGATTCATCCAAAGAGATCTACCGAACGCAAAAAAAAAAAAAAAAAAAAACTTAATATGCGCTGCGCTCCAGCAGGGCTGATTATTTTGTTTTAGCGGAGCGATTTTGTGAATATAACAACGGCCGCTTGCAGGATGCGGATCTTTTTTATTTATTTTTTAGGAAACCCACATTTTTGATTCTGAGTTTAAAAATACTATGTAATTAACGCGTTACTGACAAATGCGTCAATTAAATATTACATTACAGTGATGCTTACCATCTGGTTGTTAAGGAACAGCTGCACGGGTTGTGCTTTCTTCGTCACTGGTCACCGACGGTTGTTCTGGAAGGAGAAAAAAAGAGAGTATGAATGAGTCATCTTATAATTTATTAAACACTATTTTTTTTGGATCACTTACCAGCTGTCTGCGCGGTAGCGGGACCACGTGGTGCGGGGGGAGGGGTTGACGCGGCATGTTGACCGCAGGTTATCGGCGGATGCTCTGGAAGGAGAAAAAATATGAATGAAACATCATCTTTTACTAAAAAACTTTTTTTTTGACTTACCAGGTCTCTCAGCTTCTACGATCGGATCAGCTTGTTGTCTGGTCACCGTGTAACGCAGATCTTGATGTAACTCCGTTCGATGCTGATTGATGCGTGGAGGCATGGTTGTGAAAAAGTTTAGACTTCTGGGGTATTGCTGAAGTTCCGTTCTAGCGCCCTCCCTTTCTGTGAAATTAGCTCTTTCTCAGCTGAAAAAAAAAGGAATGTTAATACATTACGTATAAAAAAAAACACTGAGATTTTTCAGGGCTCGGTCGATTTGGCTAAATGTATCATGAGGGGATGGTGGTTTGGCTCGAGGCGGTGTACGTGATAATTGAGAAAGAGGAAGTTCCTCCCATTCGCTCTCCAATGAGATAACAACGATTGCGTCTAAAAATAAAAAAAGATTAGATGTTGTTAGACCAAACAAAGCGGAGCCTGAGTAAAAAACTCACCTGTCATCTTGGTAGCTTCACAGAATCAGGACTCCAAAATGCGTTCTACATTTTTATACCGTCGTTTAAAAAAATCTTGAATAGAAACGACGCGATTGGTCGAGGCTAATGTTTAAAAACACTACAAAGAATTATATTACAGCTGTGCGTGCGTGCGTGTGCATGTGTGCGTGTGTGTGAACTAGCCTGTATTTAACTCGTGTCCATCGGTTCTTCAAAACGTTCCACAGGAGAAATAAAAAACCCTTTACGATCCAAAAAATAATACTTGACCAGCTTTGTACCTGACAATTGTTCGTGGAAATGTTTATGAAAAATCTGTTGCGATGTCAGGCCTGTCTCATCATTTCGCAATTCAGAAGTCGTTATTAGCAAAGCAATATGAGGCTTTTTATGGATCAAAACTCATGTTAAAAAATGTTGCAGCTGAGTATGTTCAGTGCAGCTCTGAAACGACCATCACCCCCTACGGCTTCTTTCACTAATGTATGACAATATCGTTGTGGAAGAGGGTGTGTGTGTGTGTGTGTTTTACAGAACAAAAAGTAAGTCAAGTGCTTTGTGAGCTGAGGAGCTGTTTGTCTCCATGCCGACTACAGCATCACCAGAGGTATGGCTCAACTTTTATTTATAAAGCACCTTATAGGCTTGAGTATGCAGGGTGCTGTACAACAAAACAATAAACGGTTTAGAGTCGGTAACCCTTCACTAGTCTTAGGATCGTGCATAGCCAAATGGATGGTAAATGATCAACTAGTGTTTTGTTCACAAACTTCCTGGCACTGTTTAAAAACCCACCACAGAACAAAAAGTAAGTCAAATGCTTTGTGGCTGAGATGGGGGTGATTTTGTTGTAAAGCATCACCAGAGGTATGGCTGAATGGTTTAGAGTTGGAGACACATGTCTGAATGTAACCCTAACCCTGTGTGTGTGTGTGTGCGTGCGTGCGTGCGTGTGTGTGTGTGTGTGTGTGTGTGCCTGTGTGTGTGTAGATCCGTTTACGACATGCATGTGAATCTAAGTTATGTGTCTTATTTCCTTGAGTTTAACTATTCTGTACTTCATATCTGAGATGTTAAATTACCGGGCTGGTTCTGGAGATTTATGCTTGGCTAATGTTAAGACAGTAAAGGGTTGATAAAGAAGGTTTGACCAGAAGTGATAAATTTGGCTTGTATCAGTAGCTGCTGTCTTTATGCTTTAATTCATGTTTCCATAGTATCAAAACTGACTGGATGTGACGTCTTTTAGTACATCTGATCCATCATATTCCCTCTGCTCACATCTTTTTTCACAGATGTGCCTTTAAACAAAATGGTCTCTTTGTGTTTAAATGTTACAACAATTGAATGTAATTTTCAGAATTAGATCTAGCAATGGTCAAACATTAATTTAATGTGTGTGTGTGTGTGTGTGTGTGTGTGTGTGTGTGTGTGTGTGTGTGTGCCTGTGTGTGTGTAGATCCGTTTACGACATGCATGTGAATCTAAGTTATGTGTCTTATTTCCTTGAGTTTAACTATTCTGTACTTCACATCTGAGATGTTAAATTACTGAGCTGGTTCTGGATGGATTTTTCACAAAGCAAGGTTTGTGATAGCGGCGACAGCATATCCACACTCTCTTCTTACACCTTTTGGGTTGAAGTTGAAGCGTCGGATGTAGACACTTCTTCCTTTTCCTCTTGGGTTGGTGCTTCATCCATCGCTTCTTGCTTCACTTCCTTCACCTCTTGGATAGACTCTTGCTTCACCACTTTCTTAGAGGTATTTCTTTGGCTCTTCATCATTCTGACATGATCTCAGTCTGACCCTTGAAATGAATCTGAGCTTTTAAAGAGGCAATCAGGGTTGGAGGGTATTACGTATGAAAGGGAGGGGCTGTGGGAACTGCGGGGCTAAGACAAAACAGTTATCAAGCGTAACTAAAATGATTCACAAAAGGAAACTTCATGCGCCATTACACCCAGTCATTTTCTTAACATATCGATCTTCACAAAAGAGACTACTGACAATATGATTTAGGCTAAGGTGGGGGGACTAGGTCAATGAACAATACGCATGCCAATCTGATTTATGCTAGGGCGGGGGGGCCAAGGTCATCGGGTCATTGAACAATACGCTTGTCAATTTGAGTTAGGCTAGGGAAGAGTGGGGCAAGGTCATGAGGTCAAAGAACAATAGACCTGTCAATTTAATTTATGGTAGGGATGGGGGGGCAAGATCATGAGGTCAAAGAAAGACCTGTCAAAAAGTTTGATGAAAGGTGGGTCCTTATATCTCTCTCATGGCACATAACAAGCTGAATTAAAGGGACTATAGAGATCCGGACGTCACGTGACTCTCAGAGAGTAGACGCCATATTGGCAGGCAAAAAAGGTAAACAAACACGGATCGTAAACATGAACATGAATGGGATTGGCTTGGATTTTACTCCGTCGGAGTTCACTTCTCACTTTAAAACCGAAGAAACCATTTTATATAGTCATAAATTAATTATCTCCGACCCTTACCATGCCCCTGGGATAGTTTTTAAAATGCCAGAAGCTGTCGGAGTGGACCTACCGGATTTGAGATACCCTGACATTTACAATTTTCTTATTAATTTTCCCTCGTCCTACTCCGGAGCATCGCTACGAGCATATAAAAGCCTGGAGGGATACAAATGGACACAATCAGGGTTTGTTGTCAGTATCCAGTCTGGATTCTTTCTGCAAAGGACAGTGCTGTTGTCACCGGGAGGGTAAGTGGAGATTTTTTTTTTACCGTTAGCAACAGCCCGTTGCTAGGTTATCTCTGTGTGAAACGTTGTGCGTTCATGAACCTCAGAAAAATAACTTCAGTATTTTCTTAAAACATAGATGTGAAACAGAACTGTAAACTTGCATCACTTAACTCTTTAGATGCCAAAGGTGTAAAATTGCGACAAGCAACATTTCTGACTGTTACGAGCCACAGTTGCAGATTTGATCACTCATTCTGCCAGGAGATGATAGACATCTGTAACTTAAATCTAAGACACTTTTAATGTGTGTTATCATGTAAAAATTTGGAGTAAATACAGTTTGAAATAATTAATTTTAAAAGTGTCCTTACAAATAAAACAGATATTCCTACCAGCTTCTAAAAAATATATATAAAAAAAAACTTTACCGTAGTTAAATCAATTAAACACACACACACACACACACACACACACACACACACACACACACACACACACACACACACACACACACACACACACACACACACACACACACACACACACACACACAATAAAATATAAACAGGTGCCTAAAGAGTTAATGATACAGGAGCAGTTATAATGATGGTATTAAATCTGTGTTACAGGCGAATCACTCCCAAAGATTAAATGACCCTCAGTTGAAGCCATGGGTGGCCATCAGGAATGATGGAGTGGTGCTATTAATCTGAGTAATTCGTGTGAACCCTAACCCTGCACCTGATACAGGTGAATGATGCAATGCTGGGTTCCGTATTATTGTTTTATTAATTACAATGATTGGACCGTGACATATAAATGTTTTTGGCTGTTGTTGGGAATAATAATAAAATCACGGTTCGGTCCAGTTCGGAGAGAGGGCGGGGCGCTCCACCGCTTGGTGTGCGCTCGTTTTATAGATCTAGTGGCTGCAGAGAGGCGGGGATGCTGCCGCCGATCTTCCCCATCGTTCCGCCGTCAATTGTGAATAAACGCGGAGAGCAATGGCCTCGGACAGTAAGTAACTGTTTCATAGATGTTTGACCGTTTCTAATGCAGATTTTATTCATTTCATTTCTAAACTGGAATCCGTTCAGCCCGACTGGGATCGAGGGAACCCGTAGGCCAGCTGATCGCTTTCCTCTGACGATGGCTGCATTATTATCATTATTATTTTATTATTGTTATTGTTGTCAACGGGGATGATCGCGCTCGTCTGTGGCATAAAGACCACCTGTGCTGTTGTAAGCAGGGCAGTTGCCTCATCTCTAGTCTTATATCATTTATTTGCACTTTGCAGATGTAAATTTCCCCCTTTTGCCAAACCAGCAGGCGGAACCTGAGCATGTGCAGATCCTCAGTCAGTGGTGCATCATGCTGGATCAGGTTTAGGGTTTAATGCCCTGCAGGAGAATCATGACTAGGATGCAGGAAGGGTTCTGCTTGACAGAGTTTTACAGGCCTCGCTCAGCGTGCAGAAACTCATTTATGATGGTAATAAACAAAATAAGCAGCTCCACAGGTAACACACCTGTAGTTCTGTTCAAATCAAACAGACCCACTCAGGCACAGCTACAGCAGCAGGGTTAGAGGAGGTAACGGTGGAGTCCACCATAGCAGCAGCGATGTCTGAATGTCTCCCGCCTTTGATCATCTGTCTAACTCAGACGATGACGCATGCTGCCATGTGGCTCTACTCATGTAACCATGCTGAGATCCCTCTGCTGCTGTGGTTGTGCTCTATGACCCAGTTTGGTCCAGCTGTTGGATGGATCTTCTCACATGTGTGTCTGGAATACTTTGGTAATTGGAGGAGTTCATGTCCAACCCAATACCAGGCCCAAATCATCAGCTCTCCACCACCGTGCTAACTGCTATTATGAGGTTCTGGTGTTTGCTGTGAATCATGAATCTGTGGTCCTCATGAGCATCATGTGGACCCCTGGGAAGCTCATCAGCATCTTAAGTGTTGTTCTTGGTGTGTGTAAACACACACCTACGCTCCAGACCGCCACAAGCCCCTATCACGGTCGTTCTGATGACAGTAGGGCTGAATGATGTCAGAAAAAACATGCAGATTTTTGGTTTACTTGTCTACGTTGTGATAAATCCACATTTTCTTGACTCTCACCACGACGTAACAAAGCATCCCTCACAACTCTATCATCTGGGTGCAGAGAGATGGACAACACAACCATGACAGCTCTAGCTAGCTGTGAGTAAGAGGAGGCATCGTTGAGACGTGTTGTGACTAAACCGCAAGAAGAAACTTGGCACAAAATTCATTAAAATATTTTCACTGATTGTTTTGTTTGTTGGTTGTTGCCTCAGCCTGGTGGGTTGTTGCTGTTTCTGAGTGTTCTGGCCTACTTTCAGCTCCTCTTCCATGTCTAATTCATGTCCGTCTCCTCCCTTCTCAGGGATGGCGCGCGCTCTGAGAGCCACTTAATGCTGCTGTTTCAGGAAACTGGAACCAGCCTGAAATCCATGTTTGTTCCTGTTTGTTTGAGCAGTGGGGCCTAGCGATGTGCTGCCCTCCTTTTAGCCTTAAGCCAAGCCTCGGACAGTTACCGGTTTTTAGCACGCTTTGCTGTAAGGGTGGAGGGAGTTTAAAGTTGCATTATGTACAAATTACAGCAGAAGTTTCTGATTCAGAAGAACAGAAACCTTTCCTGACGTGTGATTAGACTGGAGACCTGTCCTGGACGTCCCCCACCTGCTGGCTGATGGAGGCAGAGCAGCTCCCCGCGACTCTAGTGAGCAGGGTTCAGAGGAGGAATGGAAACCATTTAGTTCAGCTGCTTTTGAGTAAAAGTAATAAATGATTATCGGAGGCCTCCCGAATGACCTCTGAGTTATATCCAACAGGACTGATGAACTAACAGCTGAGCACAGATTCCACAACAACTCATGAAAACAGTGTTTTATACATCACTGTTGTTGCTTTCCACGATTATTTATGTGTGTGAAATTCACCAGCTGCAACAAAACGCAGCTCTTCACTACAACTAAACTTTATTTATATAGCGCCTTCACATGGCCCAAGGACCAAACAAAGCGCCGCACAACAGAAATGAACATGAAGAAATAAAAACATATAAAACCATTTAAAAACCAACAAAAACATGCAGGTAAAGTCTAGGTGGGGGAGCAAAAAGTGCAAAGCCATCCGTTAACGAGACTCCTCTTGAGTAAAAGCCAAAGAATAAAAGTGTGTTTTCAGACGGCTCTTAGAATTGCCGAGCGTGGTGGCCTGACACGTAGGTAGCTCATTCCAGAGCCTCGGCCCCAGTACCGAGAAAGCACGACCCCCCCGAGATTCCAGTCTGGTTGGGAACGACCAGCAGTCCTTGCTGTGCTGACCGAAGGTTCCTTGAGGGAACATAAGGATGGATCAGATCCGATAGATATCATGGAGCCAACTCATTTAAACATTAAAAACAAACACCAAAACTTTAAATGAAATTCTAAAGGAGACTGGAAGCCAGTGTGGGGATGCCAAGACAGGCGTGATGTGTTCAGATCTCCTGGTACCAGTCAGTAACCTGGCTGCCGCGTTTTGGACCTTCTGTAGTTTGGCTTCAGGTGCACGCAGGGCTCAAGTCTGGCAGGAGTTTGTTAAAGGGATCGTTCAGATCCTCTGAAGAGGACTTCTGAGGAAAAGTTAATTCATTTCCTGCTGTAAATCTTCTTAAAACTGAACTGGTTTTGAATTTCACCCGATTATTGTAGCATAAACAAGACAGTAGAGGCTGAAGCGTGTTCCTGTGTTGGATCGCCTTCATAGGAGGAAAACGTTGACGTTGGTGGAGCCCGTAGTTCTAACAATAGGGTACTAGGTGAGTAGCTGCTGCATTTCTGCTGCTTGTTGTGTCTCAGTGGCAGGATGTCCGCCTCGCCTGCTGATAGTTAACACAGAACCCAGAGCAGGGTCAGAATTCATTCGGGGAAACGGTACGACTCACGTTTGTTACCTTCAGAAGCGTTTTTATCTGTAGAAACCAGGAGAGGAGGAAAGGCATGGCCAGCAGTGGAGCAAGCGCAGCAGGATACAGTAGGTGGAAGGATTCTGTCTTCAGATTTTGGATCCTTGTGAGCGAACACAGCTAAAAGAGAGCCAGTTCACCAGGTCAAAGCAGTATAACCCTTATAACTGTCATGAACCTTTGTCACAGACTAACTGTACTGAGTCCCGAATAAAGGCTACTTGGCTGTATGAGATATAAACAAGTATTAAGTTTTAGAAATATCTGAAATGTATTTAGCCTGCTAATTTATCTCAAATACTAATAACTACCGTATTTTCCGGACTATAAGTCGCACTTTTTTCATAGTCTGGCCGGTCCTGCGACTTATACTCCGGAGCGACTTATATACCAAATTATGTAGGCTACACCCCGCTGCTGCGGACCGGCTCCGACCCAGGAATGAGCTCCCCTGTCCCGCTGGGAGGGTTGGAAACACCGCCATCCTCTACTGGAGACCGTGGCGCGCTGCTGTGCCGCGTTGTTTATTCTGTTATTGTTACCCGTACTTGTCTTGCAATGTGAAACGCTTGGTCTCAGATTTTGTAAGAAAAATAATAAAATTTCACCCCAAAATGCGACTTATAGTCCAGTGCGACTTATATATGTTTTTTTCTTCTTCATTATACTTTTTATGGCTGGTGCGACTTAAACTCTGGAGTGACTTATAGTCCGGAAAATACGGTACGTTAAAAATATTGAAAACTTGCTCATGACAAAATATATTTTCGTCAAGGAAATAACTTATAAACTTACCGATTTAATACTTTTTTATTCACAGAAAGATAGTTTTCATGAAAAAGCACCGCAAACCTCCACACAAACTCTGTGTGAGCCTCAGGTCGCTGGTGTTCCACAGAGTTAGCTCCGGATGTAGCTAGGTTGCTACCTCCATTAGCTTAGCTCCCACCTCCGCGTTAGCTTTGGATTAGCTTCAGGTTAGCTTGCAGCTAGTTCGACCGGGTGTCGTCAGTTGATCCCAGCCTTACAGCCCCACCCTCAGCTCCACCTCTCTTCAATTTTGTGGAATTGTCTGGGCTTGACGGAACCTGTGACACGGTCAAAATGGCGGTGGTGGCCACCTCCCATTTTTCTTCAAAAATGTGTTATTGGAGACTATGGAAACCCATTGTCCATATATGTATGTCGATGCAAACTAAACAGACATGGGACCAGTTAGCTTGTTCTAACATAAGGGATCTCAACAGAGGAGACCCCTGCTTCACTCACCACACCAACATAAAGGCATTTCAGATCATGATAACTGATATCATTATTTATCTTTATTTTCTATATTTAAATTATTTCTTGGGCAACAAATTAAAACCAGAGGAATGTTTGTTTTTGTGTTTAGAAGATGTGTGAAATCAAAAGTGGAACCAAACAAAAGCTTTTGGAGGAAAATGCAAAGATGCTCGTTTTTACCGCCTCCTCTTTAATGATGGAGCCATGATAGGTTCAGGATGTAAATCAAGATGAAAGTCGCATTTTATTTCTCCTTCCATGTAGATAGACAAGAAGAAATAAACACTTTCATGTTTAGAGCTTTTTCAGTTCTGGTAGAAAATCCGTAAAATCGTTTTCTAAGTTAGAGATGATGAAGAGTCGAGTTGTTGAGTATTTATGACTCAAATGTTTTCAATAACCCCAAACCTTTATTTCTGTGAGACGTTACTTATCTTTTATTAGATGAGTTTTGTATTAATTTTCTTGTCATGGTGTGTTCGTTATGAGAGTCCCAGTTTGGGCCCCAGGAAGCTTCCAGCACGTTTATCTGAAGTATTAAACAGGTTGTTTTTATAATTATGGTCATAGAATAGAAATGTGTCCATTTTTTATAAACTGTGTTTTAGTGTAAAGTTGTTTCCTGTGATGATGTAAAGCAGATTTACTACCAGTAGAGGGCGCTTCAAAACCAGCATACTCTCTCACTGCGGTCCTGATCAGGCTCCTGGAGGGGCTGCAGCCACACACACACACACACACACACACACACACACACACACACACACACACACACACGTGATGTCACTGATTCATCTTTCTTAATTCATCCTCTGGTTTCGGGTTAATTGACAGAATTGTTGTCTCGTTATCATGTTTTAAAATGTTTCTGATGATTTTAATTAAAGTCTGTTTTAATGAAATAACTGGACTAAAAGATGAGCACACTAGAGCCACATGCTGAAAGGTTCCATTTACCTACGTGGTGCATAAATGGATCACCAGAGCACCCCCCCCCCCCCCCCCCCCACCACCACCACCACCACCACACACACCCAGTAACTCAGCTCAGCCAATCAGGGCAGACAAACGGATGGCACCATGGTAACATAAAACCTTCACATGTGTGGGTGGTAAAAAGCACATTCATTACATCCTAATAGATCCACTGGACCGTTTCCAGGGAAACGATGATTTTCAGGAGCATGCGTACGCCCTGTGGCCTGCTCTCTGCTGAGAACAACTTGTGTTTCTGGGTTGATTTGACCTCCCATCCCAATGTCAACAACAACAGCTCAGCTGTTTGTGGTCTCGGTGATGTCAGCAGGAGGGGCGGAGCTGTGTTTGACATCATGGCTGACATCGCTGGCTGACTGGTTTCTGCTTCTGGTGTTGTTTGAGATTCGTTAACGCTTTTATGGTATGGTTGTGGTCAGAGATTGTCCTTCATTTGGGATTTTTGTGATGGTTTGAAGTGTTTTTTCATATAGAATTGTAGAATTTCTCTCCTCCGCCCAGGCTCAGACTCAGACAGAAAATAAAGTATGGATGCAAGCAGCCGAAATGAGCCTCCTGCATCCGGGGAGGAGGTCAGAGTAGCGGCGCTGTTCCTCCTCATCGAATGGAGCCAGGTGAGGTGTTCAGGCATCGGATTTGGATGCTCACTGGCTTATTTCTTCCAGTTCTAATTGATTATACGTATTTCATTAATTACCGCTTTGACTCAGCAAAAGAAAAACCCAAGAAAGCAACTTGCTCTGTTTCTGGATCTGAAGCCACGCGGTGCTGTTTGCCAGCGCTCTGAGACATTGTTCTCTTTTGCTCACATCAAAGTACTCTCTTCTCTCATCTGTAGCTCCTCACTTCAAAGTGGAGCCTGCAAAAGTCTGCAGCTGCATAGTAATCAGAGGATAAAGATCGCGTTGTCACACTTACAAACATCCTCTCACCACCAAAGCTGTCAGAGTAGTATCTGTGAACATCGCTGGTTCTATTTCTCCACCTCGTTAGTGTGATCAAATGCCTCCTGATCTATTGTCCCTCACGTTGCCTCAAAACCTTCCTCAGTATAATAATTTATTAGGTTTGGCATTTAACGTTTGCACATTCATCACAATGTTTCAGGGAGTCCAGGGGTTCTTCCAGTCCATCTGGACAAACAGTAGGAGTCTCTGAGCTTTTAACACTGAGCTCAGTGTGTGCCCGAGCAGCTGAGAGGGAAACTCCACTTTACAGATACACCCAAACACACCTTCCTGTTGTTGTGTGTGTTCTGGCAACACCTCAAGCAGATCCTCACCAAGGGCAGCAAATCAGCACTTCTTACCTACGTGCATGTTTTAAAAGTTCAAAATGGGGTGGCTGAATAAACTTTCCTGTCGAAACCAAAAGAGCCCCCACAGCATCACCCGTCAGGTTTCTGAAGAAATTACTTGAAGCCCAGTGGGAGTCAATGGGGACTTGCTCCTTTCTGGAACCAGCCCCTACTGGATGAGGGAGGAACTGCAATCGTGTCACTTTCAAGTTTAGACAGGCAGACTTTCTCCTTGGTTGTAAGAAGGCTGCAAGTATTTAGCATCGAGTTCTTTATCTTTATCTCTGATGTGAGTAGGGTTACGCTGCCCACCATGGTGGATATTACATAGGAAATCAGATGTTTTCATGTAAAAACTGAATAGACCAGATCCACACAGAGTGGAACCATTTTTGTTTGGTTTTTGAGATTGTGAGTGTTTGCGTTTAAAACTTTCAATTAATACAGGTAGTTTTGGTCTGAATGAATGAGAGATGTCTCCGTGAAACGTCTGAAGGAACATCATGGTACCAAAGTAACATCAAAGCCCTTTTGGCCATAAAGCATGCATTTGGATCATCAGGATTAGTACCTTCATCATAAATCATCTCTGAGCATGACTGTCCCACAATGGTCCTTGGAGACATGAATGTTCACCTGGACAATCCTAGCTCATCAGGTTTCCTGTCCTTAATTCTCAGCACTTCTGACACTCAGAAACAATTTTTGACATTCAAAACTCTACTGAACCCCCTTCACCACCTACCAGCAATCTATCAGCAGACACATTTGCCTCATTTTTCACTGACAAAGTGGCAGTTATGGGCAGTTTACTGAACTGGTCACTCCTGAGCCTTCGCTACTGCAAAGTATTCCTAGCCGTACCATCTGAAGCCCTACTGCATCATTTTCTTCATTTACCCCTCACTGAGAACTGTGTGTCCAAACTTCTCACATGCAGCTGCCCTACCACACGCCTAGTTGACCCCATTCCTACTAAGCTGCTCCAATCTACTGCTGCCACAGTAGCAGTCACACACGTGATTAATGCTTCACTAACACCTGATGCATTTCCCACCTCTCAAACATGCTCAGGGTAAACCGCTGCCACAAAAACCCTTCCTTTCCTCCAAATCATGCAGAGAATTACTGACCTGCCTTACCGATTTCTGTCTAAATCATTGAATGGGCGGCCTTCTAGCAGGTCACAGAGCACTTCTCACAAAACTGTCTGCCTGACCCACACCAATCTGGGTTTAAAAATGGCCACTCCCCCAAAACAGCTCAGTGACAGAAACCTTAAAAGAAGCTAGAGCGAGCCAAATCCGCAGTACTCTGCTTGACTTATCGGCTGCATTTAACACTGTCAACCATGGCTTCCTTTTGTCCGTACTCTCTTACATGGGCATCACAGGGAAAACACACACCTGGTTTAAATTGTACCCAACAGTATGATCATTCAATGTATCTTGGCTCGGACAATCCACTGCTGTTCACCATCTTGCCACGGAA